ACTGTGTGACCAGCGTCCAATGCACTCTGTGAAACCCTATCTTTTCTATACAGGGCACCGGTGGCACCGTCGGACACTCCACCGGTGAAGTTTCGAACCCTTGCTCCCATGTGCTAAAGACAATGTGTATCATCTTTGTGCATGTGTGTTAGCATATTTTCATAAACATTTTCAAGAGTGTTAGCACTCCACTAGATCCTAAATGCATATGCAATAAATTAGAGCATCTAGTATCACTTTGATAACTGTATTTCGATATGAGTTTCACTCCTCTTAATAGTACGGCTATCGAACCTAAATGTGATCACGCTCGCTAAGTGTCTTGATCACCGAAACAAAATAGCTCCTACCACTTATACCTTTGCCTTGAGCCTTTTGTTTTTCTCTTTCTTTTTTTTTAAGTCCAAGCACTTGATCATCACCATGGCATCACCATTATCATGTCATGATCTTCATTTGCTTCACCACTTGGAATGTGCTACCTATCTCATGATCACTTTGATAAACTAGGTTAGCATTTAGAGTTTCATCAATTCACCAAAACTAAACTAGAGCTTTCACCTTGTTATCATGTTGGTTAAGAATGTATATATACATGCATGCACCATATCATTCATATCATCCCTTGTGCATTCCCTGTATTTATCCATATCTTTATGCATATAGGATCATCAGAGGGGATAACACTTCTAGAGTTCAAGGGCGTGGGAGAAGAGGACCAGCAGGAGACCCAGCAGCAGGAAGTTTTAGAAGGCGAAGGACAGGCCCGGAAGAATTGCCTAAGTGCCCCGACCACCGACCCTCAGCTTTTCTGAAAGACAAGCCTCGGAGCATTCTAAGCCTCCTACGTTTTACAAATACCAATTTGAGTTTTTTATGTTTGATGCATTACGTTATAGGAGTTGTTTGGAAACACTTGATGCATATGACCTTCTTGTCTAGAAATATATATACCTTGAACCCTGTGTAGGTCTAGGATCGAATAAATGCTTAGACATGCTTAGTTTGGAGAAGTCAGATGATTTTCTGTCACCTGCGAGCTATAGGTGGATACCTAGTCACTGTTGGCTATATTTGCTATCATGGAAAAGAACCATGCGTTGATGTAATTGGAGGTCGGATTGAGTCTATGTTGTAGGTTGACTCATGTGATTCCGTCTGTGCCGCTTAAGGACCGCATCGCTGTTGGTCCTCGGTCATTTTGATCACAGCCTCTCACTTAGCTGGCCGGATAACTCATTCCGATCGTGAAGCCGAGTAGCTCAACTCAGGCTGGGAGTCGTTTTGTTTGAGTGCACACACTGAAGGTAGTAAGGATGTGCGGAGAGCCAGATGTGAGCCCAAGGATAGGCTGGGCCTGAGCATCCTGGCAGCTGGTCAGTCCCTAAGGGTGCGGCGCTGATCGAACCTGCGAAGTTGAGTCCTGAGTTGTACTAAAGGTGACCCGATGCTACCCCGACAGGGGAAGTGTGGGTTTGTGTTAGGATTTCTGCCCAGCTGGTCGCAATCGATTCGAATCGCCGTCTCTCCCGGATAGTGAGAAACTTGACTGAGCTTCCTTCTATCGTAGCAAGAACAATGAAAGTGAAATGACTATGATGGTGATATAATAAATGATTATGGTTACTATTGTTGTGCTACATAATTGTATAACACATGTTTGGCATAGGTTAGTTGCTAATCTAGAGTTGAATAGCTATAATTAACTTGAAGACCGAATTATAAAATGTGTAGTTCAACTAGTGGCTTTTATGCAAAATGTTGTCAAGCTAGCTCCACTTATAAAGCCTTGCATGATCTTTGGTGTCTCTTTATTCTTGGTTTATGACGGGTAAGTCTAGCTGAGTACCTTCTCGTACTCAGGGTTTATTTCCCACTTGTTGCAAATGGTACAGTGTATCATGGGTACTGCAAGAACTGCTTCTCTCCAGCTATGGACGAGGAGTGAGGCCATGGGCATGGCCCTTCTGTGTTGTCTTACCTATGAAGCTTTTGTCGGACTTGATCATGAACTGGCATGTATTTGAAACGTGTGTGTGATAATGGTTTCAAAACTATATTGCTTCCACTACTGCAGTTGAACTTGGTGTTGTAATATTTATATTGGAACTCCGATGTACGATGAACTATTTGTGAACTTTATGTAATGTATGACATGGATGTTGAATCATGTACGATCTTGGTTGGTATGTTGGATGTTTCGAGGTCCTTCGTGATACTCGACGGACTACTCGGGTTTATACGGGCTCAAGTATGACAGCGCGACCGCTCCATGGTTGACATTGTACTTGTACTCTTATAAATTGGTCGGTTCTGCCACAACAAGCTCACGAATATGATTGTTTTGTGCATAACATATGATTGCTTACATTGCATAGTTTAAGTACTTATATGCGTATGTGTGATGATTACTAGACATAAGCATGGATGATGAATTGAGTTGCTTTCTATTAATATCTAAAGCTTAGTTTGTTTCAAGTGGTAAGTAGAGCCTTATTTTTAAATGTTGATCTCACATGGCTATCGCTTGCCCGTCTAGCTGACATTGCCCGCCATTGTACTACCCTTTGGCGATATTGGATGGCACAACTGTGTCTGGCCTAGCTATAGCCGGCAATGGTCAACATTACCCTGGAAGGAGGCTCCTGGTGGTGGCTATCGGTTGACGCTAGCCACATGTGGGGTGGCATGCGTTGATGGTCGATTCTTTTTATTTTTTAGGAGCACATCATTATAAACTATGTTAGATATGTAACAAATATGCTATATACTTTTTTGATCACTTGGAATACTCATTGAGTTGCCAATAGAAGCCATTGGAGAAGTTCCTAGAACTATATCAACATTTTTATTTTTAGGAGCACATCATTATAAACTATGTGAGATATGTAACAAATAAGCTCTATACTTTTTTTATCACTTGGAATACTCATTGATTTGCCAATAGAAACCACTAGAGAAGCTCCGAGAACTATATCCGTAAGCATACATGGCTAGTAAGGACGAGTTTGGGATCTATAATTAAAAAATAGTCCATACTTTTAGGAGTAAATTATTGGAGGTACATAAAAAAAAGCTCCATACTTTTTTTTTGTCACGTGGAATATTTTTAATTTTTCCAAATGTTTTTTTAAGAAATTGTTGGAGAAGCTCTAGAATTGTATCAATAACCAGGAGCTTCTAGAATTGTATCCGTAACCATAGGCTACTAATAAGGATGTGTTTGGATTCTAAGACTAAAACTTAGTCTATCGTTTGATAATTGGCTAAATATAAACTAATTATGAGCTAACTAATAACCCTCCATTTATTAAAGAATATAATTCTCACTTTTGAGCAGTGAAAAGATATAAAGTTTGGCCAAAGTTATATAAAAATTACTAACATTTATAATAAAAAAATAAAGTACCATTAAATAAATTATCAAATATGTTTTCGCATTAAATCGAGTTGTTGACATAAATTTTAATACTATTTATATAAACTTGATTAAAATTAAGCTAGTTTGACTTGTACAAATTCTATATTTATATTTTTCGGATGGAGCCATAGAGGGAGGGTGTAGACTTTAACCACAAATTAATCTTATTATCTCTTATTAATTTATGATTAGTGATTGGAGTGAGAACTAACGAGGAGATGCCTACTGCCGAGACAGGCTGTGTGCCTGTGTCGCTGCCAGGCGCACCCAAGGAGTCAGTGTCAGCCGGGCACGGCGTGACAGCGTGAGCGAGCGCAGGCTGCAGGCAGCACTCAGCAGCAGACCAGCAGAACGGGAGCCGAGCCGGGAGGCACTCGTGAGTCCTGAGTCCTGAGACTCCTGACTCGTGACCACACCCACTCGCCGCCGGTGGCCCACGACCACACCACCGTCGTCTCTCTGGTCACGCTTCCCGTGTCTGGTCCCCATCGTTGGCGCCTTTGGAGTTGGACATGACGGGTGGGCGCGCCCGCGTACAGCGTACTACGTGATGCCCATCAAGGAAGGTGGAACGAACGGGCCGGCCGGCCGACCTCCACCCGCAAGAGCACCCGTTCGTGCCTCACCGGCCGGGCCTACCTTTTATGCCCAAGCCCGTACGTCAGTACACAGGCGGGCTGAAAAGAGCACAAAAACCGTCCACCGCGTCGCTTGGGCCTTGGGGTGTCATTACTGGAGCATCTCAGGAAATGGAACTACCCCTAGTTGAGCATGTTTTTTTTTCCTCTCAAAATAAAAGCTGAGCATGTTTCACAGCGTATTATTTAAGAAACCCAGTCAAATCAGTTCCGTTAAAATTGAAAATTGTTAATGTTTTTTTTACAAACCGAGTCAAACTTAAGAAAGTTTGACCAGCACAAATACCATAGCAACAAGTAAAAAAAGGATTGAGGGAGTATGAATTCACTGGTATTTATTTTGCACCATTAATTTTAATAAATATTTTTAATATAAAATTAGTTAAATTTAAAATTGTTGGACTACGTACTATATAGAATTGTATTACTTCGAGGAAGTGAGCAACTCCGGATGAAAAAGTTAATACTTCCTCTGCCCTAAATTATAAATCATTCTAATTTTTTGGAGGGTCATAGCATCTTAAGTTTAATCAAATTTATATAATAAAATAATAATATTTATGATACCAAATAAGTATCATTAGATTCTTCATTAATTATATTTTCATAGTATACCTATTTGATGTCATAAATCTTTATAATTTTCTCTGTAAATTTAGTTAAACTTGACTCTCCAAATAAGTTAAAATGACTTATAATTTGGAATGGAGGGAGTAAAATTTTTGGATTTTCTAATAAAAACGTTAACACAGTTTTAAATAAGGAAATAAGACGATATGAGTCGTGCAAGTTGCAACACGAACGCTGGTGGTAGCCTAATCTGTGATGAGCGGGGCATGTGCTCGCCACACACCCCAAATCCTCACCACGCGCCTCCTTCCGTCTCTCGCTCGTCCGGTCGTCCCCTCCCACCAGACCAATCCAGCCACCAACCAAGAGCCATGGCGTCCCCGTTCTGCGCCGCTGCCGCCGCGTGCCGCCTCGCCGTCCCCGCCCCGTCCCCTCCCGCCGCACGGGCGCCTAGGCCCCGGGGCGGCCTGGTGGCGGTGCGCGCGGAGGCCGGCGGCGGGATAAACCCGACCATCCGGAAGGAGGAGGACAAGGTGGTCGACACCGTCCTCACCGGCGAGCTCGCCAAGCCGCTCACCGCCTACTGCCGGTACGGCCAGCTTTCGTGAACTCACCGGGTTAATTCCCTTTCTCCTGCATGTCAGTATGCTTGCTTGACGCGGATCGAGGGAGGGGCTGGGGGAGTGGGGGAGGGATGGATACCCGATCGAGGGAGGGGCTGGGGGAGTTGGGGACGGATACGAGCAGAGGATGCTGTGTTGTGATTTAGATTAGTAATTTAACCGCGTTCTGATTGCACGGTGGAAATGGAATTTCTGCTTTTGTTGGGGATGCACCACTTGCAATTTCACACTCTTGTTCTTTTAAATGCACCTAAACATTTGTGCATGCTAACCTCTATATCGGGGCAACGTGTTCAACTCAATCTCAAACAATGTGTTCCCACGATAATTCTAACAAGAGGTCAATAGCCAAAAGCCCAGAACTCAAGGGCAGGTCTTCTTGTTAGTACTATTATATAAACGGAGGTACAGATGCTGCTTTCAGTTCTGCGTGTTATGGATAGCCATTCTATGATTTACAGAATACTTCAAGCCACAGAACTTTGACTCTTTTGAATATATATAAGTGTGCTACTGATCCTAATAGCAGCTTATACATTGCCTTCTCTATTGCCTTGAGAGGAGCTTAAAGAAAACTAGCTTTGAGGAGCTTAAAGAAAACCACCTTTCAGAATAAGTACATAGAAACTTCTACCCGTAGTACCTCCGAATTTTTTATATTAAACTGTCGATGCAACTATGCAAGGAGCCGAGGAAGAACTAAGCTAAAGGTAGTAGTTTCCCTGTGATCGAGTAATCTCTTTTTATGCTCTGCTTCGTAGTCCTCGGAACTCTCTGGAATTTGTTGTGCAAATATCAGAGATGCTGTGCCACAGAGCACAGTAAATTGTATCATGTACAATACGAAGGAGGTAATAAAAAGAATATGGAGCATTTGGCTGGAGTTAAACATCTCTGTAAACGAGCGCAATTGATTTATTGAGTTATATACTATACCGAATTATGACCAAACAGCAGAGGAACTTGCAGTGATATCATATGCAATTCTAAATGTCAGCCAATTAGAATATTTGACAGTGGAAAACAATCCAAACAAAATTCCTGTGTTAGCACTGGGGGGTCGGACATAGGAAATTTTACACATCCAACAGATTTTATTTGACTGAGTGAACTAAGAATGCTTATGATATCACCAATTTCAATATCAAGCATGGGCTTATTTTGATCCCACCTATGTGACCTATCTGTACGGGAGCATGCATCTGGTACTAATCTGCGTAATTAGAACCCAGTTCATCACAGATACTTTTACACAGATTGATTGAATTTATACTGCAGAGTGCAGATGTATGCATGTTCAGAGTTCTGAATGGTTTTAGCCAATTAGAGTACAAATTTCATAATTAATTTTGAGCATTGCATTTACTCACCGTTTCAAACTGTTCTGACTTTGATTGCTTTATGATAAGGTGTTGGAGATCAGGGACATTCCCACTGTGCGATGGAACCCATGTGAAGCACAACAAAGCAACCGGTGATAATGTTGGCCCCCTGCTCGTTAAGAAGTAGATGGGGTTTCCTTTGAGTTTTGCCCTAGTGTCATGTTGTGTGTTGAGCTGAACACTATCTGTATGTCATGATAAACTATCGAGACGCATCCTTCAATCAGAATAAAGTAAGCTGCTCATGTTAACAAGACTCAGCTTCATGATTGTGGGAGTGACAGGTGATACATGTAGTGAGATGTATGAACATCGGGAAAATATTTAACTCTCTGTGATGAACAATGAAGTCATGAGCTTATGATTTGCCGTGGTCCTTTTGCAGCGAAGTTATGATTCATTGATACAAGCTCTTGATGGTTGCTTTATGATTTTTGAGGTCTAGCCATCAAGGGACATCAATATAACTTAATGTCTGTAACTGCTAGAAGTACCAGTAGTACAATTGTACTACATGTAGATAGATTGTCCGGGCATTTTGTCACGGCAGTCAATGGGGTGTTTCACTAAAGAATATTTAGGGTGTGTTTGGTTGTTACTTGTTAGGTTGCGTATCTGGCTTGGGCACGGTCGGCCAGGTATCGATCGACGATTGCAGCCCCGGTCTTAAGAAATCGGATGTCTGGGAACATTGCTTGGGTCAGGCGATGCCTGGCAGGCGCAACCAAATAACCCCTTACTCTTTTCTATAACAAGAGAATGGCAGGAAGAGTCAGTTTATAGAAAGTGTTTCTGCTGCCAAAAGTGTTTCTGCTGCCAAAAAGTAAAACGCTAACCAAATAGGTGAGCCTGAAGCTGTTTTTACATAAGCCACTATTTTCACAGCACCTTAAACCTCGCTTCCGGCTTTCGGCTTGTGCTTTTCTAAAAGGGTGGAAATAGAGGGCTGATTCATAATTGTTTCGAGGGAGATGAAGAGAGGGAGTAGGTTTCATAGTCGTTTCAACCAAACGACTTACAACTTTTCACAGCACAGCTAACAACAACTTTTCTATATCTCACAACCGACAACAGTTTTTCTCATAGCTTATACCAACAGACCTTTCCTCATGATGTTGATTACTTTCAACAACTGCATATATCAAAATTGGGGTCATTAGGATGCCAGAGAGACAGGCACAAGATTTTTCTAGAGCTAAACTTTTAGTTCGAACCAAAAAATTTACCTAGACAGTGTTCCTCATTGAGACTTCCTCATGGTGTTGAAGTTAATTACCATTTCAACCATGAAGGGGTAATGTTATTTGCTACTGCATATATCAAAATTGGGGTCATTAGGATGCCAGAGAGACAGGCACAAGATTAGGTCGTGGTAGAGCTAAAACTTTTTAGGAGTTCGGACGATTTTTACTATGTAAAAAATTTACCTAGAGAAAATACAGTGTTCCTCATTGATAAAAAGAAAATTTTCCTTTGCACTCTGTCGATGAGCTCGGCCAGGGCGCAAATAAGATTAGGCTAATTCTAATGTACAATATCTTAGACACTAATGGGTTGCCATGTAGGACTCTGATATATTTGGCCTTTGATATTCCAAGAGTACAAAAACATGCTCAGATTTTGGATTAACTCTATTGAGTGACATAGAAAATAACATACAATACAACGCATTGTAGGAGTTGTTTGTATATCTTTTTCTTATCGCTATTCTATTGACATGATAATGTTGGATATAACACCCTGCTAGGGAAGGCTGCCCAGGAAACGAATTGCCATATAATATACATACCTGAAAAAGTAGCCCTTTATTTGACTAGTTTAGATTTTGGATTAACTCTATTGAGTGACATAAAACTGTCTGGTCTATTGTTTGTAACAATCCTATTCTAGACGTCCATTTTAACACTGATAACCACTGAGGTTGTTTAGATGGTGTCTGTCTGGTCTATGTAACAATCCCAGACGTCCATTTTTGATGACCACAGGTTGGATGGTGTTGCCTCGCCTGACAAGCTGGCTAGACCACCAATCAACACATGTCCTTAATGACTCAAAGAGATGAAATAAAACGTGTGGATGGCAAGTTTGATTGTGGCACACTTGAGTCCCGTAGATATCTATGTGCATCTTCATTGTCTAAGATTAGTGAAGCTTCTCTTACAGATAACAGTATTTATCTTGATTTAATTTTTAACCTAAGTACAGTAGGTTATTGGAGCACTTGAGATCAAGTACGTGCACATAGAGTAGTATCGTCTATTGTCTTTTGAAGCGCAGTTATTATCATTCGTACATCGTACCTCCTCCTACTCCTAGGTACAGTACGGCAGGAAAATAAAAACCCAGTCCTTACATAAGCCAGCGGATTGTATAAATATAAACAAGCAAATTGAAGTAAGCCGGATCTGGGTCCGTAGACAGTAGACACCCATTCCTGATCGGAATTATTGTACGAGCAACGGCAAGAACGCTGTGACACTGCCATATTTACAGTAATAAGTTTCACACCCTGCTCGCTCGATCGTATCAGCTATATTTATCAGCTATGATACAGTGTTTTTCTTTCATAATAAAACAACATTAGCCGGCTTATAAGTCACAGAAACGATTAAGCGAACATGGTACCCTAGGAAAAACACTGCAATGGACGTCTGTGACTTATAAGCCTGCTGCTGCTGTTTTGTTGTGAGAGAAAAATATTATATCATCACTTATAAACATGGTAATAGTACACTGCTAGTGCTGCTCCTGCAGTGGCCGTGCACTTGTTCGCATCATTGCAGTTGCAGGGTATTGTAACGCAATACGGTTTACTCTCTCGTTCTTTCCAATTTCCATGCTACGTTCTTGATCCTAAGCTCCTCTCCAGTCTCTCAGCATTTCCATTTCCTCGCGCAGAGGCTAGAAACTAGGATGCGTGCTTTACGCAGAGGCCAATTAATTATTAATGCAACTAACGACATGTAATTGGTTTCTTGTATGAGTTGATTCTGATCTAAGTTCAATTAGTAATTAGTAGTGCAACTAATGGCATGTAATTCGTAAGCTCACTATGATGGCAACGAACGGTGCCATCAAAATCTTAGGCGCATGCAAGAGGTCCAGTTTCTGTTTGATCCGAGCATTGTTCTTGGCAACAAAATACTGCATCATATCTTATCTTTTTGACCCAGGCTAGAGGTGAAGCAGAGCTGCAAAACATCACAGTGGCTTAGTTTCAGTTTTGATACGGCACAAATTTGATTTGTGATTTACCAAAGCCTTCAGCAAGAACTTAACTAGGCCATCGGCGGAGCCTCCCACTGAGACTGATGTTATCTTGCTTGTGTGTCACTATGGCCATTGGCGGAGCCTCCTAGAGGTGAAACTAGGCCATCCCCCCATTTTCTCTGCAACGCTTCTTTACTATGGCCTTGTTTAGTTCAGCGAATTTTAGGAATTTGGCTGCTGTAGCACTTTCGTTTTTATTTGGTAATTAATGTTTAATCATAGACTAATTAGACTCAAAACGTTCGTCTCGCAATTTCCAACCAAACTGTGCAATTAGTTTTTTTTTCCGTCTACATTTAATGCTCCATGCACGTATCGCAAGATTTGATGTGATGGCTACCTTAGCACTTTTTGGGAATTTGGTTGGGAACTAAACAAGCCCTATGTACTTGTTCTATTAGATAGATATGCTAATTAAAAAGAAAAGGAAGGTTGGTGCTCTATAGAGTGCTAATGTTTTCTTTTCATTAGGACAGTGGAGCGTCATTAGGATCGTACGTGTGAAGGCACAACGAAGAAGCTGGTTGCTCGTTATGGCGATGGCCGCCATGCCCATGGTAAAGAAAATGAGATGAACACATGTCATGATGTGCATTTATGGTGATAAAGATGCTTGTAGGACAACCTTGGAGGTTATAGATGGCAACCATGATGCAACAGGGAAAATACAGGAGGGCTGGGCAACACAGATACCTCGTCACGCTGTCGACGGCTTGCTGCTCAAGAACAACAAGGTGTACATCCCTGAGACATCACCATGGGCTCAGGCAGTAATCAACATAGCGCATGGGGTGGGGCATGAAGGGGTACAAAAAAACACTACAGAGAGTGAGGACATATTTATATATTCCACGTGACAAGGTGCTACTGCATGATTATGTCAATGCTTGTGCCACATGCCAACAAAACAAGACAGAACAACTGGGATCAGCTAGTTTACTTCAGAGTCTAGAGGTTCTTTCCATTCCTTGGTCGGACATCACCATGGATTTCGTGGAGGGTCTACCACACGTCCATGGGAAATCGGTGCTCCTTATGGTGGTGGATAGATTCTCAAAGTTTGCACATTTCATTGCTTTGGGCCACCCTTACACAGCCACGTCGGTTGCATGAGCCTTCTTCACATAAATCGTCAGGCTTCATCGCATTCCAGGCGCCAATAGTCAGTGATCATGGTTCACAAGCAATTTTTGGCAGTAGGTGTCTATCTTCACATGTCTTCGGCATTCCACCCTCAAATGGATGACAAATCAAAGGCCACAAACAAGATCATTGCCATGTATTTGTGTTGTCTGATGAGCGATAGGCCTAGCTAGCTTCAGTGGCTACCATGGGCTGAATTCTTCTACAACTCATCATTCCAAGCATCTCTGGGTAGTTCTCCATTCAGGGTGGTATATGTTAGAGAATGACCAACCAGCTCTATTGCAAGGCTTAAGAGGGCAAGTATACACAATGTACATATGCAAAGAAGCCCTCCAAGTAGAGGGAAAACACATACACCTCCTATACATCTAACACCCCTCCCTCAAACTCATGGTGGATCTACAACACTGAGTTTGGAGAGTAGGAATCTATGATGAGCCCGGGTCTATGCCTTGGTGAAGAAATCAGCTAACTGAACCTCTGAAGGCACATGGTGGAGCGTCACAACCAGATCATGCACCTGCGATCTCATGTAGGAAGCATCAATGCCAATGTGTTTGGTGAGCTCATGCTTGACTAGGTCTCGAGCAATACTGATCGCACCGGTGCTGTCAGAAGAGAGAGGATTGGGTGCAATGGCAGGCACACCAAAATCCTCAAGAAGTCATCGTAGCCATATTGTAACACCTCTGGTGTTTTGACCTAGAACTA